CTAGCTGAAACCAATAAATGTCTATGTGTGTTGACAATTAAGACTATCCGTTATCACATGCCTCTGACATTTTTCCACCGACTGCCTGTATCTTATTATCGTTCAATTATCTTTATCAATATTCATTGTCCGTATATGTTTTTTTTCGTACGTTCTGTTCAAATATGGATTGCAGTCATATGCCAAAAAAGAAAACAGAAATGTATAAATATATTCTACTGCATCCTCACTTTTGTCTTTCTCATGCTCTATCTCTCCATAATTTTTTTCCAGCTATCTCAGTTTTTACACCTTGTCAACTCTGGCTTCTTTTAGTCTTTTTCTCTTGACATACGGCTGGTAAGTTTTCTTCTGTTATTCTTACGTCACTGTCCGATCTCAAATCTGAATCTTTCTTTCTTTTCCTAAGCGTTTCTTTCTCTGTCTGTCTGTCTCTCCCCTTGTATATAGAGTATGTAGATGAATTAATATATATATATATATATATATATATATATATATATATATATATGTTAATCTATCTCTTTCTCTAGTTACGAGTTATATAATAAGATTTGCATCTGGATGAATCATTGTTATTCTCAAAAATACTCACCCGCAGAAAAAAGAGATTTTTACAATCCAAAATAACCTTGAGCTTTAATAAGCCACAAAGAATATATAAGCCGTATAAAATAAATCATTGAATATATATATATATATATATATATATATATATATATATATATATATATATATATATATTGGTGTGTTGTGAATAGTAAAGTTTAACATACATGTAGAAACTAGCAGGCTTCGCAAAGTAAGTTATATTTAAAAAAAAAATTAAATGAATATTTCATTCATGTATTGGCTTGTTATAGTTAAGGAACGTTTTACTAGTAGATGCCAACTTCTTGAAGGACAAGAAAATGCAAATTTGCAACAACTTTCTGAGCTCCATAAGACAATATTTTTAAACAGAACTATTTTTGATATGAAAATCAAAACAATCCTTGTATAAAAGAACTTATATCGATATGCAAATTAGTTAAATCTGAACCGTGATAGTGCCTAGAAGTAGATAATCTCTGGCCCAACGCTGGTAGTATCACGGCTATGACTAGCTTAGACTAGCTTGGACCAGTGGCTCGAGTGAAAACACTCGGGTTCCCCACGTTAAAAACTGACCTTGTGTTACATCCTGACTCAGTGGGGCGTCAAGTAAATATCCATACAAATTCCTGCTTGGAGGGATTTTCACCGCCGGCTTATTATCTCTCAGTTGCGTCTCTGTCTTTGGGCAGAGTGCGCTCAAGGGCTTCTCTGTCAAAGGACAACTGAGAAAATTATACTGAAGAGGTGCCTAGCTCTGGAGAACAGCTGCCCGGACCGCGTCCTCACATTGCACCAGTGGGAGGAATCGGTGGTCGCATCGAGGCCATCGCAACCGACGGTTGCAGGGGTTAAGGGCAATTCTTGTCTCTTGCCCGAGTGTACGCGCTCGTGTCCCCACTTTAGACGACCTTGTGTCACATCTCGTTCTGGTGGGGGAACGAGTAAACACCGTATAAATTACTATAAAGTAGTGTCAGGGCTTTTTAACCCCAGATATTCGTTAGATAATTGCACTCTAATTTCGCATTTATTCATATACATAGCATAATATATATTTTACTTTTACTTACCTAATATGTTTCTCAAACTGTTCAAATGTTGAATATATAACTAATTTTAATTTCTATTTTCCCATCTATACACTATATTAATTTTATCTTATAAGTTGTCTCCAGTTCTGTCACCCATGAAATAAAAATATTTGTTTGTAGGGAAAATAAGGATCTACGTACATCGAATCGTCTCTAAATTAAGTGGCAGCAGAAGATAATCGTTGAACTTTTAAAAGGTAATCTTAAATATTAATTCAATACTTAAATGCAGCGATCAATTTTGAGTTCTTCTATAGTTTATTGATGCCTATCGCACTTACTCCTCCATAGCTATTATGATGATGGCTAAACCAAGCGTCCTCCACAGGAGCTAGCTTGAATACCGCCCGATATGGAGGTTTTAAGCTAGTTTATAATAAAACGTGAACTGCATTTTGGATACAAAAGGAAAATAAGAGTTACTCTCCTTGTAACATGAAAGCAATGATAATGGCTAGTATAATATATTAATACATATTTTTCACCTCGCATAATCTGGTAATCCTGAATCTGAGCTCAACAAAATATTTCCTGGGCTTTTGAATGAGATATGAATCATTGAAATCGGACCAGTGGGAATAGAGGAGTTACTTAGACACACGCATAAACACACATACACTGTACATTATATATAAGATAAGAAGCAGCTTATCCCGGAGAATAATATGGTACACGGTTGAGAACACAGACTGATGTAACAAACAGTCAATCGTTAAGACCGTCCGTCCACACACACACACACACACACACACACACACACACACACACACACACATACACACAGAGAGAGACAGAGAGGAGAGAGAGAGAGAAAGAAGGAGAGAGATATTGCTGTTTAAATAGTCTTGGACCAGTGTCCATCTTGTAGGGGTGTTAAGCTACTCCAATCACCCACACATATATAGATTGTTTAAAATTTGCTATATTTATGCGGGAAGAGAGGGTGTTTACAGATATGAACAGTGTTTACATAGGAATCGACACGGCAAATAGAGAGAATGATGTATTAGATTCATAGCCACCATTCTGTATTGATTACTACTCTGCTTATCTTATTCTTACTATTTTTATATAAATGCATATATTCACACACACACACACACACACACACACACACACACATATTTATATATATATATATATATATATATATATAGATGTACGTAGTTTTTTCTTACAATTTTATTTCGTCTGTCTTTCTTATCTCATAAGTTGCCTTTCAAGCACTTTTTATTCCTCCCGCATGTTTTTTCGAAATTGCTTCCTGCTCAACATACGTTTTGTGAATAGAAAGTGCAAATGACTCCAGTGCAAGTGACTCCAGTGCAAATGGACCGGGGATTGACAGATACTAAACTGTGATCTTCGGTAAAAAAAATTGTAGTTCTTGCCTAGCCAAACAAGCAGTCTAATAGTATAGAAGGTACATTATACGATTCGATATATATAGACATCGTTGGATTCCATTTCGTATTCTGCACGTAGAAATAAAAAACAAAATTTATCTCTCTTATATATTACAAGAAAACTCAAATTCGAACTTCCAAAAGCAAACATGTCTCATGCTTTGCATTCGCAAAATTAATGCATTAGGTTGTTATTTTAACAGACAGATGGCTACAAGAATCACAAATTTAATAGAGTGAAGTGGAATCGGATAATGATTTTGGAATTAATATGGTAATGCCTCCTTTTTACTGGTTATGTTGAATTAATTTAAGCTACAGTTAATTCCTAATTAGACAAGTGTTTATTCTAAATCCGGGTAACGTTCTGTCGATTCCACAGTAATCATGCTCATTACTATAAGAATACACTGGCGGAGTATAACCATTTTTATGAAAGTACAGTAGTATAAAAATACAATAAAGAAATCTAGACAGTACTCTTATTAGCTTTCATACAACTCTGCCAAAATAGTTCTCTTTTTGTCTTCCCATAGAAAACTCAAAAACTACAAATAGAAACTCAAGGTAAATAAATAGTGAAAGTGGATTCAGGGAAAATGCCCGCATTTAGAGAATAAAATGCAACCAGCAATTTTGAAGTTAGCATTCACCTTAAAAAAAATTACAATTGATTCCTGATCGATTTCTTCTCATCATTAACTCAGTGCTCTCCTCACATTCTGTCTAGATGACTGAATCTCAAAATCGATGAGTGATTTCTCCTTAATCTCTTAATCTTTTATTGAGAGCCAACCCACCATGACGCAATCTGATCAATTTTATATCATTATCAATGCCTAGCATATCGAATATTGCTGTGGGAAATGTAGCCATTAATAGACAAGATAGGGAACTGCGACGAGAACAGTGGTAGCAAACAGACGTACACACACATACTATTTACACACACACACACACACACACATATATATATATATATATATATATATATATATATATATATATATATCTAGGGGGCTGAAATGTTTACAGAATACCAGGTTTCCTAAGATGTAAGGAGCTGACAAACGATCATGATTTGGGGAATTTTATCTTGATCAGGCTTAGAACCTTTTACCAACCCCTATATATATATATATATATATATATATATATATATGTGTGTGTGTGTGTGTGTGTGAAAATATATAGAAAATAGGAAAGAACTCGTTAGGTAAATAATCCAAAGTTCTTTAGTATTTTTGTTATTATTTTAAAAAAAAACAGTTCTCGATACAAAAGTAGAGCCTAAATATGATTATTTATTTAAAAATATGATTCCATCGCTACATAAGAGTTCTCATGTTTCAAAACAGGAACTGAAAACATCAATATACTTATTTGAATTAAATTGAATTAAAGTACCAAGCTTTGTTCCATCTTGGGAATTCAAATAATTATATTGAAGTTTTCGGCTATTCAATTATCAATCTATCTATCTATCTATCTATATATATATATATATATATATATATATATATATATATATATATATATAGTTAATACAAATATAAAACTTGGCAGTTAGCTGATTGATTCAGCACCTTTAGTCCAGAGCTTCGAAGAAGAACCTTCATGTTATTATTCCGTCTTGTCGTCAGTAAGTATCATTAAATGTCTATATTGAGTTAAAAATAATTTACGCGCTTTTTATTGCTGTCCAGTTGATTTTTCATTATATATATATATATATATATATATATATATATATAGAGATAGGGAGAGAGAGAGAGAGAGAGAGTGGAATATCCAAATATAGCTTGAGACGTGAAGCTGACGGTTACAATGCATTGTTGATCCGTATGACCACACTGCCTATAGCTACAAATGATTCAATACTGAACGTTCTTCCTCATAAATATAGCAAATTCTAACAATATCTATCTATCTATCTATCTATCTGTCTATCTATCTATCTATCTATCTATCTGTATGTATGTATTATTTTATCAGTATATATGTTTTTGTGTACTTGTGTGTAAATGCGCAATTGGGATTCATAGGCCCCAAAATAACGTCATCAGAGTTTTATTTACAGTAACTTTTATCGCTTTTCTGTACAATGTTAATGATTTCTCAACTTACTAAGACGTATAATAAAAAAAAAACACTTTTTGTGCATCTAATTACAGGCGGTGGTCTTTATAATTCTAACTGATCATAATCTTCGCTCGAGGCAGTATTTATTTATTGCTAATACTTCTAATACATATTGCTTCATTATACAAAGATTAATGTATAAACTCAGTGAGCCAGTAAAAGATAACATTCTAATAATCCGTTTATTACGGTGATGTAATAATAGGGAAATCTTAGAAGTGAGTCTGACCTTTACCCAGCTAATTTATTTCATATGCAGTGAGTCAACTGTACAGATTCATCACAGTGGTCATCCTCATAGGTCAACACTGATACATCAAACGGTCATAGAAATGAAATCGCACATTCTTTCGTGTATGACGGAATCGCCATATCTGAAACATTGATTTTTTCATTGGTGCCACACATGGCAACGTGACTTGTATGGACAGCCTTTTTAGCAGAAATAATTCATCTATTCAATTTACAACAAGCAAGTAAGGTGATAATGCCACTAAGACGCAAGGGTCTACTGGGATGGGAAGAGAATGTTGAGACTTTAGAAGGAACCGGAAATCAATCCTGAGCAAGAAACAAAGGATAGACCTCTACACCTGCTCAAAATATAGATATATATATATATATATATATATATATATATATATATATATATATATATATATATATCAGATAAACATAAATTAAATAATTGCTAGAAAAAATTATGTAAATATGTGCATTTTCAGGTGCATATGAAAAGGAGTTGAATTTTCATAGGTACCCCTAAATTAATAAGCAAATATCTAAATAAATAAATATTCGGTAAACAGAAAATTTCATGCGTGTTTCTTTTGTGTTATCCACAGAGTTCGTAACTAATCTTGAAATGGTGCAGTTGCAGGCTTATATTTACTTCTCTTTTGTTAAACCCCACACAACTGAACCGGATTACATACAATCCAGGTCCGCAGTTGGTCTCTCTCAATATTTACAGTGTCCTTTACGAGTTGCATCTTCGAGTTGACGCCTTTACCCTTAAACTCTAACTTAATTTATGTCAAATGCAATGCATATTCTAGAGATCGTTTAAATATTTGAGCTTCAATGTTTATTTCACATATTCCCACTGTAGGTATACACTTCTGGATGCTGTATCGTTTTAAATAATGAGTTTAGATATCATATTGTTGAAAGTACTTGTAGACAGTTGACAGTGACTTATGATTTTTACAACTGATAAATAAGAAGAAAATGTGTAGGGGCAATGGGATAACGAAAGTTGCCTACTAAAAGCTAAGCAAATTATTAAGAAACAGAAAGATTTCGAGAGAAACAAAGTAAATAGTACTGGACTATTACGTACTACCAGCCTTCCTTTATAGAGATGAATGCCGTACAATATTTTCACTGATGAAGAACAGGCGGGAAACAGTCGAAATGTGGTTCTACAGAAGAATGCTGAGAATAGTATGCTCGCAACATGTGACAACGACGAAAATTAGAGAAAAGGGAAACAAAAGAGGCATTTGTATTTAACATCTGATAAAGAAGTTGAAATTTCCTGGGCACATAATGAGGAAAGAGGGCTTGGAAAATTTAATACTCACAGGAGATACTGAAGGCAAGAGAGACGGAGGAAAACAATGCATAACCTGGCTAGCGAGCTTTAGTAAATGTATGACTGATCAAGGTTAAGAAGAGATAACATATATAAAAATTATTAAGCGCTATGAAGGAGTGGAAATCGTGGAGAGCCATGATCGCTAATGCCATGAAAGAACACGGCCCGTTGAAGAAGGAGATAAGAAAGTAGTTACTTTTCAGAGATTACTTATTATCTAGAGTCCTGTCTGTTCAAAACATTTTTTTTTTAAATTAGTTCTGAGAAAAATAAATAGTTGTTTTTGTAAAAAATAACAAAACGTCATGTGACGAAAAGTCTGCACTATTGTATGTAGAGAGCTCTGTGACTCAAAGACTGGGCAGAAATTATTGCAGCAGTGGTTTAATTTCCGGTATCGAATAGGCAAAAGCAACACAGAGGTGCTGCCGGAGGGCACATAACATTTTATCTATACTCACCAGTGCAGCTAAGCAATAATGGCAGGTCAGGCGTATATGGAAGTTATCCAAATTTTTACATTCCATAATTCAGCACAAGCACAAGTGGCCTTGCTTCTTGCTGAGTGTCGGCACAGAAGAGAAGACAGACAACGACTTTAATGCTTGATTTCAAAAGAAAATCAATTGACAGTCGACCTATAATTTGGTATAATTCATGAAAA